GTATCCACTCACGAGCTAGTCGCGCTTTAGAGGGAAGGCATTTGCGGTGCCCAGATAGCACTTTTGACGTCTGGAAAGCGGTTATTCATATTTTTACAGCTGCAAAGCATAGTCTTGGACTTGGTTCATCCAAGAGAACCGAGATGAGTATCCCAGAATTGTTATTCTGCCGAGGCGCTGCCTTCAATGTATTTGCTTCAAATCAAACGCTGTATATTCAGGTGCATGTTAGCGATCACAAAGTCGTTGGTCTATTTGCTGGTTGGAGAATATGTGTAGTTAGTTTGCTTGGAATACTGACTCAAAGCAGTGACCCGTTAAAGTATGTTCCCATCTTATTCCTGTTATTTCAAAGAAAATTTAATCTCACAGAGTACGAGATCAGCTGGTCGAAGAATGTAAGCGAGCCCTCAGCACTACTGAACTTTCTGTAAACAATGTCCTTATCTTGTTAGCTATTTTGGCTGGAGAGTTGAAAAAGTTTGGAGACCTGGTGAGCTTTTTGTTTGTAAACTTACTTCTGGTCTTGGAATACAGAGCGGCTTCAGATATCAGATGCACAATCCGCTGCTGATTTTAAGACAAGCATGCGCCCATGGTGTGTCGGTCTTCTGGAATTTATGCTCCCTACTGTTTTCAGCGATTATGTTCAGAAAACTCAACCACTCATACAAGTTTGCGTGGTGAGTTTCTTTCATTGCAGCCATAGAAATCTTTACTAACTCTTGGTTTTTTCAGAACCAGCGATGTGTCAATGAAAATGTGGCTAAGTCCGCTCTGTGGATGGCATGTCAGTCTGTCTCGGATGAAGTTAGAAGTTTTTTCGAAGATAAACTTATCGCGCAAGCCCTGGACTGGACGCTTGGGCGAGAAGTACAGCCTTTTAACTTTCTGTTTTTCTTCACTTGATTTGGAACTTTGATTTGACTATAGGTTGATCCAAACGGCAGTATTTATGCTCTGCTGACGGGTGGGACCGCGAAAGAGCCTGCAAGTCTGTCCATATCAAAAATATGGCTATTTTCAGCTGCTTTAGGTAAAAATTATCTATTTTTTGTTTTTGGTTTGCCATAGATTTCTCGTATATCAGGAGCAAATGACCTGATCACGAATTCACTGAGCCGTTCGATTCCACCCGACCAACACATTGAAGAAGCTGTGAAGAATTTTGAAGAGAACCGAAACGTAAATGAAGGCGAAGTTGTGGTAAGAAAATCTGTGAAATATGAGCGATCTGTAGTTGGAAATTTTTTCTAGGAGTTTTTCAAGAGGATCGCAAACGTCCCGTTGAATACGTTTCGAAAGTATGAGAAACGTTTACGAAAACCGCTGGAGTTGATTTTCAACAAGGGTGGTGAACAATTGAAGAGGGCTGCTTATGAAGGTGAGAAAATTTCGTAGAACAGGTTTTTGGGACACTTAGCACCAGTCTAGGACTTTCTCATCTTGCGTCGGTCTCGTTGTTGACAGCTGCTTTTGATTTGCCACCCGACTATGGACACCTGCCGGAGGATAGCATTTTGCGCGCAGTCATTGCTCAGTTCGGGTTGGTGCTTGAAG